TCTGTTACCATTCATCCTGAGAGTCTCCTCCAACACAAGCGTTTGTTTGTAGTGAAGTGCGTTTCTGTTGATCTTAAAGAGCAATTTCACAATAAGGGAAGTTCCTGCACTTCAGGCTCTGCTTAAATTGGCCTCGACTACATTCAGATAATTTTCTAGTGGAAGGAGGACAAGAGCAGCAGAAGATAACAGCTTGAGTGGTGCTGGGCTGCAACCTTGCATTAAGTGCCCAGCCTTCCCTGGTTGGTTTGCATTGAGATGGGCATGCTGTGCCTGACCACCAGCATCACCCTGGAGCTGTTGTCTTGAGCTCCACCTGCCTTCTGTGGGTTACTCCATTTCTCTGCTTGAATAGAGTGTAATGATGCTCCCTAGGCAAGGGATGTGTTGCCAGGATTGATTAATACTTCTCAGGCATGTGAGATGCTTAGTCTTGCTGTGGAACAGGGATGTACAGCTTCACCATGTGGTGGGAGTATCTTGGGAGCCCTTTAGGGTAAGATGTGGGTGTTGAAGGGACACAAGATGGTGTCACTAGGAGCAGGGGATCCAGTACTGGCAGTCATCCTGGTCCTGGGAGCTTGCAGCTGCCACCTGGCCCTGCTCCAAAGCTATGCATTTTTGGTGCAGAATAATAGACTCCCCCTTCCCCTTGTCTTGTTTCAGATGAGGCCCGTTCCAAGAAGTGTGGGATCCTTGTTCACTGCCTCGCTGGCATCAGCCGGTCTGTAACAGTCACTGTCGCCTACTTGATGCAAAAACTCAATTTGTCCCTGAATGATGCTTATGACTTTGTGAAAAGGAAAAAATCCAACATTTCCCCAAACTTTAACTTCATGGGCCAACTCCTGGACTTTGAGAGGACTCTGGGACTCAACAGCCCTTGTGACAACCGCTCGCCCAGTGAACAGCTCTACTTCACCACCCCCACCAACCACAACCTGTTTCAGCTCAACACTCTGGAGTCCACATGAAGGGGATGCCACCTGGTTGGGAACTCGAGCATCGAATTGCTTCTCTTGAGCATTTCAACTCTTACAAAAGTATCTGTCTTGCCAGGCAGCTCTGAAACGACCAGCTTCTCTGGGCAGAGGTGCCTGATCGCTGCTTTAAGAAGGCTCACGCCATTCATTAGTATCCTGATCAAAGTGGTTTGCATAGGTAGTGTTTCTACAGGGGGTTATTTAATATGGGCGATGTTACAGCGTTTCGAACGCAGCTGTTACCGGCAATAACCGCTTTCCTGGGTGCATTGGGACTGTCAGAACACGCACATGTGTGAAGAGCTACAGGGGGTTAGCTTGCTGTGGAAAGTGAGGAGATTTATGCACTTGGAAACCTTGAACAAAAGGTGTTGGGCCAAGACTGTTTTAAAACCCAAGTTTACTTTTTTGATTTAAAAAAAAAAAAAGATAGATCTTACTCAAGCTTTGGGTTCAAACTCTTTTAAAATGTGTAAGTTCCTGACTGTTTGTACAGACAAGGTTGCAAAACCAGTATTTTATTCTGTTTCTTGTTTGATCATTTATTTTTTTTTTTTTAATCAAATGTTTATATTGACCAAATGCATTTTGCACACTTTGTGAAGCCTTGGTATGTCCTGGCATATTACTGGGTACTCCAGAGAGAGATACATGCTGCTGCTGTTGTTGTTAGCATCTGGTAGGAAGCTTTGTTATTTGTGAAGGCCAGTTGGGCTTAAACACAACCCCTTCACCACTCCTGCACTCACAATCACAAACTCTGCACTGATTCAGCCAAGGTGACTAAGCTGCAAGCTTTTTTTTTTTAATGCCACCCCTGCCAAAAACACTGTTTGCTGTTGCCAGAGGTAAAACTCTTGTAGCCTCCAGAGTTGGTAGAAGGATGTCTGAGCCCAGCTTCATTCTCTGCTGCCTGTTGACTGACTTAACGTCATCCAGCTGGCCTGAAACCATTCCAGCTTCCCAAGTACAGAAGGTAGTTGTGGTGTTGGTGTTTCTCGTGCACACTCGGTTCCTTCCCACGTGTGCGGGGTGGAGGGGGGAACACGGCGAGCGCCTGGAGCAGTGCAAGGATTGCCAAGCGAGGCGGGACTGAATCGTCACGCTTGGAGCATGTGAGGGGAGTGAAGAGATGTGGAAATGTTGAGAAGAGCATTGTAAAAGAATTTTTTTTATAAATATATATATATATGTGTATATATATTAACTGGCAAATTCTGAGATGATTGGAGCTTTCAACAGAGGTTCTAATTTTTTTTTCTTCCTCTTTCAAATAACTTTATGCCGTGCCTTCTATTCTGAGAAGACTTATTTATATTTCTGGCTAGTGTTTGGCAAACACGTTATACCGAGCCGGGAGGGGAGGAAGTGGTAATAATTTCTGGGAGGAGGGCAGAATGGAATTGGAGATTTCTTTATTGGCTGCAATGTAGTCCCTCCTTTCTCCTCCCTCCCTATCCACTTTAACTCTCATGTAACTGAAAAAGAAAAAAAGCCACGGATTTTTTCTAAATATCCAGTTTTTTGTACTTTTTTCAAGAAAAAGAAAAAATAATTTAAAAAAAAATACCCTCCATCTGGAGGAATGTTTGACGCTGTCACATCCTGAAACTGTTCTTTTTGTTAAAGATGTTACCAGAATGTTGGAATGAGCTTCTCTTTCTCGTTTTCTGGTTGTTTTTTGTTTGTTTGTTGGGTTTTGTTTGCAACAATGTTGGGATCGTGGGTCATTGGAAGGGAGAATGGGCGTAAGTACAGTTGTGAGTGAGAAAATTGAGAATATCCTAATTGCATCTTACCTCATGGAGGAGTTTATTTTTTCAGGGATTTTTTGACAGTGCATCTGTATTGCATTACAGCTAAGCTGATTTGTAAAGGCTTCCTGTGCTGTTAGTGGTCTTTCTTCTTTAAAGGAAAAAAAAAGATGCATCTTCTGATTAGTACAAATGAGAGCTTGTTAGTGAGGAATGGTTCTGCTTTCTGAGTTATGAAGGAAAATTAGTGACCCTATATATACTGATCCAATATTGGGACTTTGTTTATATTGCAAATAAATATTATTTTTTCTTTAAAAATGATGTTTGTGTCAGATGCTTGTCTAGTCTCTGCCTATGAAAGGGCATGTAGCTCTTACACATTTTTTTTATGGTTGATTAGTAGCCTTCTGTGACCATGAAGAGTATTTGCTGGGCAGTGTTCAAGTGTGGTGTTTGGTTTCATGCATAGCTTAATTTTTAAGACCTGTGGTAAAATGGAGAGTGGGAGGTAGGAGGGTGAGGAGAGGGATATGGGGTATTGGATAAACCAGAGAACAAAGAACGGTTTGAGAATGGGACTGACTTTGACCCCAGCAATTCCTTCATGCCAAAAATAAATAGATTAACTAAAGGCACTTTTGTTCGCTGTGTAAGTGTGGCCTACAAAGGCTCAGCAAGGCCTTGCCCACAACTGTTGTGGATTTCAGACTTTATTTCAGAAGGAAAGCAAGAAGTCATGGCCTGTGGGCAGCAACCTGATGACTTCTGGGTCTAATAGAGAGTGGGAGCCCCCTTCTGCATCCTCAGGTGGGGACCAAGCCCCTGGCTGCAGTGTTGCATATGGATGTGCTGACCCACTGTGTTCCCTGGCCATGGGTGCAAACAGTTTGTGGGAAGCCTGGAAGGGCTGATGAGGATGCTTCAGGGCAAAATGTGGCTCCAAGGGTCTGAGTGGACCCAGCTAAGGTAGCTGTGTCTCCCTATGCCTCTGCTTATAGCTGTGCAGGAATGGGTTCCCCCCCACCTCTGTATTTCTTGTTTTAAACTAAATGGCAAGAAATTAAATTACTATTCAATTGTTGAGCTCTTCCAAGTGAGTGCATCCATATTGTCTTGTTCTTCTAATCCTAGGGCCAGAGCACCAAAGATGGCTAGGTTTATTCCAAAAGGAGCTCAGACTGATGAGTGCAGAGTGTGTCACAGAGCAGGACAGGTAGGCAGAGGCTGAAGCAGGAGCCAAGGGAGTATGTATGTGAGAAAATTTGTTTATTCCTTGACTGCATGATGGGAATCCATATATTGATTTAGAGGCCTGTTTGTGGCTCAACAAATGAAAATCTACCTGGTATGCAGGGAAGAGACCTTCAGGTTTTCCCCTCTAATTAAATGGTAGAGTAGCTCTTGAGGAAGACAGGAAACCATGCTGAAGGCTGGCTGTGCACTGAAGGAGTGCAGAACAGCTTGTCAGGTGGATGGCTATATTTGTTTCTATCTAATTTCCTCTTATCCTTTTCTACACCTTAAAAGAAAATCATGTTAGCAGTTAGCATGAGCTCTGTAAGCACATCTGCACAGTAGCTGAGTTGTGGCTGGCTGGAACAGCACAGCCTCTGTTTGTGATGGCTTTGGTGGAAGAGCTGGTGTGCAGGCAGCTACCAGGGGTACCTGATCCAGATTCAAGTCTGTTGTGTCTTACCACTGCAGCACTTTTGCCAAAGAAGGAAGATGGCTTGTCTGAAAACCATCCTGCCACCTGCAAGTGTTCTTTCCCCCAGGACCCAAAGGAGACACTTAACCATCTCCCTTGCTTCGAGAGCAGGGAGCAGCCAGCTTGGCTGATCCTCAGCCATCAGTGTTTTACAAATGTCTTGTGCCTTGCTTCTTGGCTCGGCGGGGTTTCCTTGGAGACCTGATGTCCTGTAATTCAGTGAGGAGACAAAAACTGACACCAGGAAAGGGGCATTGCTGGAGAAACAGTTGCAGAGAGCGTGGGGTCTGTCCACGCTCCCTTGCAGAGGTGGGCACGAGCACTAGCTGAGCGTAGGAGCACAGGCTGAGTGAGAAAGCTGGTTATGTTCAGATTGGTGGAATTTGGCAGGGAGATACTGCTTCCCACACGCAGCAGGGAGAAGCTCCTTGGTTAACCCATTGATTCCAGGCAAGGCATTTGTAAGATGCTGTGGTGCTGTGCTCTACAAAACCAGTTAATCTCCTGCTTGGGCACAGAGATCTGTGCCTGGGTTTTCACTGGTGTTGCCACAAGCCCTTGGGCAATACAAGTGGGATTTTTAAAATATATTTTTTTCCAGGGATGACTGTCTTGCCACTCTGATTTGAATAGTTAGAGGGACTACAGGTCTCAGGTATTTCCAAAAAGTTTCTCCCTCCATTTCAGGTCAGACAAAAGCACAAAGCTCTGAACGCAGGTAGAGCTAAACTTCTGCAGTTCCCCCTAGGAAGGCCAAGTTCTTCCAGCAGTCCTCTGTGCAGCACATCCCATCCTGCTTCCCTCTGTGCTGCCTGGCAGAGCCTGGCTGCTCACCCCAGCTGGAGAGGGAATGGCAGGGAAAGCAGGTATGTCCTGGCATCTTGTGAAACAGGAGGACAAAGGGCAGGTTCTGAGGGCAGTGCCATGAGGATTACTTGTGGTCATAGACGATGAGAGAGACACAATGCAAAAGCAGGGGTGATGGGTCTCAAACAGCTGCAGGAGGGAGGTGTGAAGCGGTAGTAGAAGCAGCATCAGGACACCAATGAGTAGGACATGAGCTTGGGGAAGGGGCTTTGGAGTTACTTGTCGGTTTCTTTCCCTCATTTGTGCCTACCCTTACCCCTCTTCTAGGCCAGTATTTCTTGGTGTGGCATCAAACATGCTGTGAGCATGATGCAAGTCAACCTCTGCAGCTCTGAACTTGCCTGTTGTTGCGTCACCCAGATATGTACATGGGAAAGCAGACTCTTCCTGCTTCCATCTGAATTTGGGTGCTTACATTTCCAAGGTAACCAGATTATTTGTGGGCTGTTATTTTCTTTTTTTTATCCTTTATTTGAGCAAATCAGGCTATTTGCAGTGCAAAGGCATGTAAATAGTTCAGCTAATCAACACATCTGACTGGCACAGGCTGCGATAGTCATGCTCTGGGCTGCTCAAAGTGTATGAAAGTGGGTTTTCTTCTGGATTTTGTGCCATTTGCTCCTGTGCTTCCTCAAATCTTTCTCTTAATCATGTATGAGGTCAGAATGCTGGGCTGGCTAAATGTAATTTGGAATGAGAGGGTGGGTGAGAAACTGCTCAGCAGGTAGGGAGAGCAGCTCATGTGAGTCCCATCCAGGCTCCACATCCAGTTCCTGTGAGTTCCTTTATTCAAGCTGCAAAGCCCCTATTTCAAATGGCTTTGTCTCTTTACCTTCTTGCTGTGTCACCCCGCAGCGTGGGCCTAAAGGATGGGCTGCAGTGAGACCATCCACAAGGTCACTGCTGGATCCCTGACTCAGGTGTGAGACACCAACCACATGTGTGTGGTGTGAGGGCAGCAGCCGTGCTGTGTTACTGGCAGTTGTCTCACACCAAGGAGGCCTGCCATGTTGGGCTGGGGGCAATCAGCTGCCGATGGCTGCCAAACTGCCCGGGCAGGTTGGGGTCCAGGCTGCCACAGGAGGTTCAGCTAGTGAGACGGTGAAGCAGCAGGTGTGTCTGTTTCCTGGGGGGCCATGTTGAAGTTTGAATGGCTGCGTGGCACGTGCCTTACATTGGTGGGGAGCACCAGGTGCCAGGCTGTGCTCCCTGGCAGCAGCAGCAGCCGCCATGTTGTGTCCTCTCTCTGCAGCACATCCCGGCACGGCTGCCCGGAGCTGGGGGCATCAGCCCCCCTTCCTGGGACACCAGGGAGGGGAAAGCACTTCGGCAAGGACCACCTCCTCTTCCTGGCCTGCCTTTGTCTCTGCTTTTGCACTTTTTCCCTCCAAAACACCTGAAGAGCTGCTGTGACCCCTCAGGTGGGATCTGACCCCGACGGGTGGTCTGGGAAGGCCTGAAAGACTCGTTGCTGTTTGTGGTGGTGCAGAAACACGGCTGGGTCCTGTGAAGGAGCTGTGGGAGCATAAACAGCAAGGTGAAGAGGGCTCTGTGCAGGCGATAGCAGCAGCAGTGATGGCCCTGGATGATGAGCTCCTTGCAACTGAAGTGTAAGTTTCTGGTGCCTCCAGGCTCCTCCCTGACACCTCCGAGCTGCCCTGTTCAGTCGCGATGGTGTTTTTAGGTTGGGAGCTGGGTCAGGGTGGAAGCTGTGGCTCAGTTTTGGCTCAGTCAAGGGTTGTGGATTAATTATGGGTTGGGAATTAATTGCTTAGCAAGTGCAGACACCCAGGCTGGCTGTACAGCCCCAGACTTCTGCTCAGCCCCTGTGAACTGTGTTGGCCCCTCAGTACTGGGACAGCATGGACTCCCTTCCTCTGCCTAGTGCAAGGCAATGGACAGCACTCTCTGGCCTTGCTTTCTGCCTTCTGGGTTTTTTTGTGCTGATACCTGAACTTGCACTTGTTCTGCATTATAGTTTTTTGCTTTCTGTGATTTCTCCACTGCTTTCTGTTTCTTCGGATCATTGGGATTTGAGGTACTGTTGCCTGGCAGCTGCCCCTGCAAAGCTGTGGTCCTTCTGCAGGAAAATGGAGCCCTGGCTTTCTCTCAGGGACATTGAAGCATGTTGGAAATGGAGCTGTGGGGAGACTTGAGGAGACTGTGTGCCTCTTCTGTGCTGCTTAGTGGTGCAAGTGATCCAAGAGCATGTGGGGCCTTAAGAAGTATCTGGTAAGGGAACCAAGTGTGAGTGTCAGAAGGGGAATCCAGACAAACTTATTTATTTTCCTACTTTCTTTCCCAGGAGAAACATCTCACTTACGTAAAGCCATTTGCTGGGCTTCTCACTGTTTTATTTTGAAGTCTGCATTTAGGCACTCTGCTCTTCTCATCTCCTTGATCTTCTCATCTCCCATTGGTGCCTCAAGGGCAAATTCTTCATGAGTTGGGGTTTTGCTTTTATGAAGTTTACTCTGTTTCTGGTCTGTGTTCTCTTTTTATTTTCTTTCTTTTTCTTGTAAGGACTGCTCTGGTCTGTCTTGTATTTTTTGCCTTTTTTTCTTCTGAGAGGTGAATTGTTGTGGTAAACCCTGCAGAAAGTGGGAGGGAACAGACGGGCGCATCAGCGTGAGACCCTGGTCACTGATATGGCATTAGTGAAAGCCCCATGCCAGTGAGCAGCTGAGCTCTGAGGTTTGCTTGTGGATGCAACACCCTAGGAGCACAGCATTTTTCTATATGGAAG